CTCTCTCTCTCTCACACACACACACACACACACACACACACACACACACACACACACACGCCGAAAAACGGCATGGCGCACAGTGCGCACCCTTGCAGGGGTAGCGCGTCCCCACGCGCTGCGCGCACGGCGCACCTCGTGCGCGCGCGCGCGCACATGTGCGCGCGCAGTGTCACCGCGCGCATTCCGCAGGGCGCACCGCACCGCATCGCGCCCAAGTATGCTCCACATCCATGCATCCATCCTGTTTCCATGCTTCAAAGTTGTCCCTTGGCCATGTCTGAAGTCTTGGGTGACATTGAGTTTGGCCCGTCATATGTGGTTGATGTGATCCACATCTACGCATCTATCCTGTTTTCCATGCTTCAAAGTTGTCCATTGGCCATCTCTTAAGTCTTGGGTGACACTGAGTTTCGCCCGTCATACTTGGTTGACGTGACTTCACATCTACGCATCTATCCAGTTTTCCATGCTTCAAAGTTGTTTCCTTGCACAACTTCGAATGATTTTCCCGACAGACCTCTCATGTGCAATAACCTATGTTGTATGCCTCGGGGAAAAACTCAGGGCCTCGCCAGGTCACACTCAGGCCCAGGCCAAAAGGGGAAAAAAACCCAGCTAAAGATTCAGGGCCTGAGCGAGGTACAGTTGACAAAAGTCAACTGTCGGGACCCAACAGTCAAAGTCCAAAGTGGACCCAGCCCAGACCGCCGGTCAGACGCGGACTTGTTTGTATGCAGGTACCCAGACAGCATCAGGACCAAGGGGAAATCTGCAACTGTACATCATCCAGGCCCTCGGCTGAGAGTCAGTCTGTACGATTATGGGGAGGGGACCGGAGGCCAGACAGCCTCGACAAACACTACAAAAGGACAGGACTCGAGGTGGTCAGCATTCAGTCTTGCTATGCTGCTTGCGCCACCTGTCTGTCCTGCTGATGTGGCGCATGCCACTGCTCTACATTGCTGATACAATCAGACTCGCTTTCATTCACACTCCGCATGCATGCAAACAGGTTGCGCAGTAAACTGGCATCAAGCACCCACCCCAAACTCAGAGATATGGTAACCAAGGACACAGTTCAGATACAAGCTCGCTTCAAATGGCTATGGCGCATCAGGGCCTGTACAACACTCTGTTTGTCACTGCGCCACACTCTGCTGTTCACACACACTCAACTAGGATCACACTGGATACCCCACACACACACTCTGTATCACACACGCACACACACACTGCACTTCACTACCAGCTATGGCAGCTATGGCCGCCTCTACCACTATGCTATAGCTACACTACTCTCCTTCAGCCCACTTCGACTTCGGGCGCATCTGCAGACCACCTCGCACAAGTCGCTGTTGGCAGCGCTTCCGCATGGCTTACGCTGGAATGAATGAATGGCTGGACGCTGCCCTTTGATTTATACTGCTGTAGCTCGTTGGTCTGCCCCTTTCCCATGCCTGTGGTGCACACTGTCCCATATGGTACTTGCTTGACTGAACTAGGACTGACTGGGACTGGTACTGCTGACTGCATGGGTTTGCACTGCAACTCGATGCAGTCGCACTGCCCACTTGCCCACTTGCCTCAGCCTAAATGTGAGCAACTTCGAAAGGCCACTACTAGGACCTTCCGGAAGTCTGGGTCCTGGCCTTTCGAAAACTGTAGCAGCTACGACCTTGACCTTTCAGAAGTTCTACAGCTACGACTTCTAGAACTCCCTAAGACTTCTACTCGACAGGTCTACAGATCGAACCCCTGCTACCTAGGGACCCTACGACAGTCTACCAACTGTTACTATCTTCCAGACTGGGTTCATTGCACATGACTCCTAGATCTACTAATGGCAGAGTAGACTGTGTAGTTCAGCATAGCAAGAACGAGAGTTAGAAAGCGTACATTGTGCATTTTATGTACCATCCACCGGATGAGCTGTCTTGGATCTCTTGCTCATGAGATCAAGAATCACAAGTACTCCTCACAAGAACTCACAATCGCAAGTTTGCGATTTGTGCCTATGAAGCCTTCCGTCGTCCTAAGGTGATTGAGCTCGACCTTGCATATGGCTCAGTGAGAGTGCAATAACCCACACAAATCGTTGTCTGAGATGTCTGGAATGTCTTTAAAAACGTTGTTCTTTCAATGTGGTTTCTTAGAATCATGAGTGTGAGTCTATTACGTTGTGATTCCTTGTCTTTTCTAAGTGTGTGCAACCTACCACTTACATGCATATGCCTTGTGCCTGCCGAAGTCTAAGTTTGTGTCCTTGTGGTAAACATTGTTTTTTCACAAGTGTTTATGTGCCTCGAGCTGGGGTAGATTTGTCATAGGTATAAACATAGAGACAAACCCGAACTTTGGCAACAGAAGAACTTAAGGGAAACACAGGAAGAGCAGGGACATTTGTAGAATTGTTAGGGACCCGGTAGGCCTTGTTCAGCAAGTCTGGTAGGCGCAGGTAGGTCCAATAGGCTAAGAGAAAAAGTCTCATAGCATCTAAAAAGTCGTAATGGTCTAGGGACTCTAGGCCCTATATACAGACAGGTATTAGGCCCTGGGGGGAGCTGCAGGCTGCAATAATGTTTCTGCACTTGTAGATTCGAGGTAACAGGTCAATACAACTTGTCCCGGCAAAATCAAGGTGAAACTTCAATCCCACGACGCAAACCTTGCCACCCACTGTGACGAGGATGCAGATCGATCAGGTTGTTCAGGTTGTTCAACGCGGTCTTCATGTGCAACAAGCTCTACTACAACCAGCATGTCTCCTTCTCTGTTACATACTGGATTCCACACGGGCCCTGTTAGGCCCGACGATTAGGTCTAGGGGGTTGTCCCCGACTGTGGCCACGCTGGGACAGTCCGGCCTGGGCTAAAGGTCGGACCTTCGGAAAAGGCCAACCTTAGGCCTCCGGCAACAGGTGCAGACCCGGGTCTGCAGATGCAGGCCCTAAGCGGGAAACCGGCCCAAACATTTTTCGTTTGGGCCTGGCGGACGAAGATTAAGGCTGCCACTTCCCGGCGGGGTCCGATCTGAACCTCGGATCGATTTGACGGTCCAGATCGCGGCACGGCTTCACCAGCAGCCACGCCGAACAGGCCACCGCCGGTACTTTGTACCGGCCAGCGGTCTGTTCTGGGGACTTGTGGCCGCGGCCTTGAGGAGTAGCAGCGCTGCGCTATTTTGGGATTAGCGAAGCTCCAGGCAGTAGCACCGGGTATAGCGCTAGCTGCAGAGGCGAGAGACAGAGACACACACACACACACACACACACAGAGAGAGAGAGAGAGAGAGAGAGAGAGAGAGAGAGAGAGAGAGAGAGAGAGAGAGAGAGAGAGAGAGAGAGAGAGAGAGAGTAGAGGGACTTACCTGCGGCTTACCTGTGAGCGCCATAGCTCCAGCATCAAAGGCAGACCTCCAGCAACTCCAAGGTGACAACTTGCATCAACAGGTTGGTGCAAGGACACTGGCACAGGGCAGTGAGGACTCGCCTACTCCCACCTCTCCATCTCCACCTTCTCTTCTGCCCCTCTCGGTTCATCTTCTTCTTCTTCTTCTTCTTCTTCTTCTTCTTCTTCTTCTTCTAACCTTCTACATTCTGGGCGATTATCTGGACAGAGATCAGAGGTGGACTATCGGTGACATAGAGACTGAGACTATTTCGGAATGAGACATTGAGGGGACTATTTTGGGAATCTGACATCAGCGGCATTACAAGATTTTGTATCTTCGACATTTCGAGATTTTGTGTTCGGGATTTCTATTTCGGTGACATTGGTGTTGGCGCCATCTCTCCTCCTCTCTTCGTCTCTATTCCCTACATTTCGTCTGTGTATGATTGTGCAGACCCTGGCGCTGTCTTCCCTGCTTGAAGCGTCAGGCCCACCACCCGATGAATGTATGGTGTAAGTCTGCAGATAGTCCGAGTCAGATGTGAGTCAGATCCATGTTCATCAGTCTTCGGCTGCATTGTATTGCTCTTTGTTATTGGTCGGTTCTGGGTTCTGCATCATACTTGTGTTCGCTTAGTATGCAACATTCTCTCTCCTGCACAGGATCTCTCCCTGGTCAGTGACACTCCTACGCAATGAGTCACTCTCCGCCAAGCAGACACTCTCTCCTACGAGCGCCCGACACAACCGCACAATTTCTCTCCAAAAGGAACAGAAAACAACAGCTACCAGATCGCAACATGATTGCCCTGCTACTTCGGCTAGGCTGTCTTCTTCACCCCACAGCGCACTGCTTGATTTCACAAACCAGTACCACACCGAATGAACCCTCAGAAATGAATTCTGTAGTTTTGTTTCCCGTGGGCATTTCCCCTGTTGCCCCTGGAACCCTCTAGACACTTGTTGGACACACATTTACCGCACGAATGGTACTGATCATCGGCTTTATGCACACACAAGAACACGTCTCGCATTCAAGACTTCACAGGCACTGTACATGCACAGTCAACGCTCACACCACAGTAAGTCAACAGCTAAGTACACAAGTAAGTCAACGTCAAGGTTCCGGTTTCAAACTTCAGCACCAACACCCAGGCATACAATACAGCACAGCAGGCAACAACAACAGCAACGGAAGCCTAGTACCCTCCGGATTACGTCAATAGATGGGTTCAACTGTAGGTAAACGAATACAACATCCTGTTTCATCCTGACCAAGCACTAATCTGTCCATAGATGGGGCCTGCTGTTGCAAAGCTGCTATTTCAACATCCAAACCTTCCGCTTCTTCTCCCGATCGTGTCCCTAAAACAGACCATTCTGCACCATAATCTGAACAGTCAGTCCGCAGTTGTGGACTCTCAGAATGAAACCAGATGGAGCTTGGACCCTCCGGATTACTCTGTGTCTTTTACTCCCAACTTGAGAGTTGATGCACTTATTATGCTGCGAATAGAATTAATCAGCTTGGAGTCAGCTACCCTTTTCTTCTCCCCTTTCTTCATCTCACTTGGAGAGTTTGATCTGTTACGAAGACAGTCTCCCAACCTTTTCCGGGCTCATCCCCGTTCCAAAACATTATTTTATATTCTGACCACTCCCTCTTTCAGGTGTGCCAGATTCTCGTCACAATTTCGTTGTTACATCTAAATGGGGTGAAAATTTTTGCTTCTTTTTTTTTTAATAATAATTTGAATTTGCCAATTTGCCAATTTGGACCATTTCTCGATTTATGCGTGTCATCCTTGCGCAGGGGCCATGCTAATCCTCTCTGTATCATTCCAATTTTAACGGATGTCCCGAAGCCTTCTAGAATTTCTGGTATATACACTAATAATGTAGTTCAATAGCTAAATTTCAGGTCTGTCCCTGTAACCACACCAATTTGCTGCTCCACCCCTGTCCGATGCACAGAAACACACACGGAAAACACGGCATGGGGACATAGACTTGGACTCAGGCAAGCACACGGGGACATTCATATCATCAGCAGGTCACACAGATGTGCAAGGAACCGTGCAATGAGAATACCAATAAACCAGATTGTGACATCTCGCAGGACACCAGACGTACTTGAGCCAAGTTAAAAGCAGAAAATCAAAGCAAAATACGCATCAAATAAGAGTGAGCAATACACCGCAGTCGTTTGATAAGTAAGTAGCCGGCCTCTACAACAACCTGGACTATTTAGAAGAAAAAACAAAAAAGGTCTTCTTCTGCCTCGAAACATCAAAACTTTGACAATGCGCTCGTACTGGTGTCATGACCGCCCTCCCTACTTCCGTAGCTTGTAGTCTAGCCTATCTACATGCCAGCTGTCTGTTAACGTGTCAATCACCCAATGCTGCTTAAAGACTCTTCTCACAGAGGCGGCCTTCGTCAGCACGAGGTACGTGCCTTCTGTCCCCACTGCCTTCCTCCCCTGTTGGCCTCCACACTTCCACCACCAAGCAATCCAGCGCCCAGCCGGCTACGGCTGGCGCCTTCTCCGTTCTCTCTCTGCCACCGCAGCAGCTTCTTTATGGGTGCTGCTTTCTCCTTCCAGGGATACAGCGCTCACGTCAGCAGTGAAATCAGACTGCACTCCAAACTTCCTTGTAAGGTGCACACACGCGGACTGATATTAAAACTGAACTCTTTCAACTCAGAATCACCAATGAACTTGTATTTAAACTCAATCCAAGCCAACTGTACAACTTGCGGTTATGGCCGCCGAACACTGTATCCACCACCAGCCTCACTCTCCCTCTTGCACGCATGTACAAGGATCTACCCTGAATGTCCACGCTACACATACACACACACTCTGTACACTCTGTCTGTGACAATAGCTGGGCGGCTATGGCCGCTGTCGTCTTCTTCCTGGCCAGCTATGGCGTCGTCTTCCTCACTGCCCACTCAACTTCGGGCACCTGCAGACCTCCACACGCAAGTCACCAAGGCAGCACTTCCGCATGGTTCACAGGCGGATGCTACCTCTTTATTTATACTGCTCCGGAGATGGCCTGGCCTGGCTCCAAACCGCGTGGGCCTGGGCCCTGCAAAATGCGTGAGGCCCGAAAGTCTCTAGACACGTGGGCCTACTTTCGGGCCTTCTGGGCTAAAACGCGTGGGGCTTACTGCGTGGAACCCCTACTTGCCTGGTACTTGCTGTCTGGACAGATACAGACAGCTCTACGACCTTCTAGACTCTACCTACAGAAAGGCTGTTAGGCCCCTACGGACAGACTGGTAAAGACTTCTAGATAGGCCTTAGCTAGACCTAGTGGTAACACACTAACCTGTTAAAATGGAGATCTGTGGATCAAAGCCTAACAGCTAACGGACAGACCTACTGACTAACCAAAGGGTTTAGGGACAGGTCACGGGTTCGAATCTCACTCAGCATAAAGGGTCAATGTATAGGGTTTAGGGATAGGTCTAGGGGTTGAATCTCACTCAGCACACAGGGTCAATGTACATGGTTCAGGCACAGGTCTAGGGATCGAATCTCAGTGTCCGCAAATGTCGGGTCAACTGGGTGAAACCGTTTCACTCCCGCCGTCCTAAATTCGAGGTCCTCCGAGAACACTCTAACTCAAGATAGGACCTTTACCCTTTTTGCCCTTTCGTAAGTGTGTACTATGTTGGGAGCGGTTTCTAAAAGCTATGTCCTAGTAAACCACCTGTCGTCCTCTTGTTCCTGGTATGCGAACCTGACTTTATATTGCTTCTGGGGACGACCTCGACCTCCTGTTCTAAACACGTCCTCTTACACTATGTGGTCTTTGTCATACGCACCATCCATGTCTGGCGGAATTATTGACCTTTGGAAAGGAAACTTGTCAGTGGTGGTGCAAGGCAGTAGCTTTGAGGCATGGAAGACTAGGTACGTGTGGAGATGTGTTGGGATCTCTATGGTGTATGATGGTCTGTCCTCTCCTCCTTTGACTTCTAGGATGGGCCATGGTCCTTTGTACGCAGGTAAGAGCTTATGCGAGATGTTCTCCTCGGGTGCGAACTCCTTAGACTTGACCCAGACTAAGTCACCTACCTGGAACTGCGAGGGTCGACGATGCTTATTAGCTTGCTCGAACATACGATGCTGGGCCTTTCTTAAATTTTCAATTACTCTAGCGACTTCCTTCTCGTGATCCAGTGCAGACTCTTGGATGTCGGGCGGTAGTCTTTGGATCTGATCCCCGTTCAGTCCTTCAAACGGTCTCCTTGGCCTAAAGGACTTGTGCCTCATTGGGAGTCCTACAAGTAGCTAGATGAACACTGTTGTTATAGGCGCTTGCTACCTTGGGAAGCATCTCATCCAAGTTCACCTGATCTGGTCTATTGTACATTCAGAGTAGCTGTTGCAAGATCTTATTCATCTGTTTTGTTTGACCGTTTGTCTCTGGATGACGGCCTGACGACATTAAAAGCTTGGATCCACATACTCTCATAAGATCCCACCAGTTCTGGCTAGTAAACCGCGTGTCTCTGTCACTAACTATGGTCAACGGTAGACTGTGCTCGCTTGCCCAGAAATCGAAGAACTTTCCTATCACAAAATCAGTACGTGCCTCTAAAGGCAAAGGAACAAAAACTGCATATTTGCTAAATCAGTCTACTATGACCTTGACTTGATTTTTACCGTGCCTACTCCTGACCCCAATATCAATGAAATCGATGCAGAATGACTCTCTGGGTCTTGATGGGATAGGCAAAGGTCGGAGAAGGCCAAGAGGGGCTCTAGTCGTTGACTTATTATGCTAACGGTCTAACGGACTTTACAACTCGCAATAAATCAGGTCTTGTGCATATGCATCTTTGATCTTATGTTGCAGATCTGCCCCTATGTCTAGATAGTGCACTATCGCGTCGAAGTAATCAGCTCTCCTACTCAGAGCATCGTTATACTTCCCTTTAACGGGCTTCAACTCGAAGTCAAACTGGTCTATCCAGCAGCCCATCTGGTCAACTTGAGCGTCATCTTGGCTTGCGTCTTTAGCCATCTAAGCGTCTTGTGGTCTGAATACACTTTGAAGTGCCTTCCAAGCAGGTAGTGCCTCCAGTGGTCCAGGGCCTGCATGAGAGTGTAGAGTTCTCTCTTGTATGTCGATGCCACGACCTGTCTGAGGGCATTCTAGCTGACATGAACTCTACGGTCCTGTAACCATTGTCGTCATCTTGCTGTAACACGACACCTATGCCATACTGATTGGCGTCTGTGGTGACGACAAGGGGCGATGACGGATCGGTGACTTCGAGGACAAAATACTCTATCAAGGCCTTCTTCAATTTCTTGAGGGTCGACATGCAATCTTGGTCCTACTGCCAAATAACTTCTTTCTTCGGTAATCTACGCGGGGGAGCGGCTATCGTGGAGAAGTTCCTGACGAAGTTTCTATAGTAGTTCGCCAATCCTAGGACTGATCGCAGCACTGTCAAGGTGCGAGGAGTTGGCCAAACTCGAATGGATGCAATCTTGCTGTCCTCGGGCCGGATACCGTCTTCGTCCAATTCATGACCTAGGTAAAGGACTTCAGTCTTAGCCCATTCACACTCCTTTGCGTTGATCTTGAAGTTAGCTTCCCTTAGCTTCTCCAAGATCTCCCCGAGATCGCACTCATGTTCCTCGAGGGTCCTGCTGAAGACTCAAATGTCGTCTAGGTAGACTTCTACATACCTGTCTAACCACGACCTAAACAAGTCATTCATACAGCGCTGGAAAGTGGCCGGTGCGTAAGTAATGCAAAAGGGCATCACTATGAACTCGTAATGCCCTTACCTAGTCCTGAACGCCGTCTTGTGCTGGTCATCAGGGTGCACTTCTATCTGATGATAACCTGACTTCAAATCTATCTTTGAGAATTACTTGCAACCCTGCACTCGATCTAAGAGATCGTCTGTCCTGGGGAGTGGTTCTGCATTCTTTATGGTTATGGCGTTCAGACCTCTGTAGTCTATACACATATGCGACTCTCCCTCTTTCTTCATGACGAAAAGAACGGGTGCGCCAAAAGGAGATGAACTAGGCCTAATCCATCCTTTTTCTAAGAGCTCGTCTAACTGCTTACGAAGCTCTTTCAGTTCTTTGGGATACGTCCTGTAAACTGCCCATGTGGGCGTTCTACTGCCAGTCTCCCAATTTGTACCCATAACTATATCGAATGGGAGATTCTCTTTTGACAAGGAGAGTCAAAGAATGAAGGACTTTTTCTACCTTCCATTCTTTCTCTAGGCGGAAGTAGGCCTGAACTCCCTTGACGTACTCCTCGACTCGCATCCTTCTATTGTCTGCAAGGATGTTGACTACAGGCTCTTTTAATCGTTAAACTTTCAGACCGAGCTTTAACTTCTTTAGCGCGTTCCGACTAATATAGCTCCTAGTGGCTCCGCTATCTATGAGGGCCCCTGTTCTAGCTCTAAAAATTTCTAGGTCTGCGAGGGTTAGTTGTCCTTTCCCATCCTTCTTCATGTTGGCCCAAGCTTGCCTCCTCTCCATCAACTCTTCAGCGAAGATTGTGACGGAAGCGTTTAGAGAGACTTTGACACAAGCAATCTCTGGACAACTTACTAGACGCTGGCCAGCGACCTCTATCATTGAGATATGTGGAGTGGGGTCCACGCTCAGATCCACATACTCCTAGGGTAGGGGCAGTTGCGACCCCTACCGACGATTGTCTTTTGCTGCCCCAGAAGCGGCGCAAATCCTATACTTAGGACGAAATTTGATGATGTGGTCGGGATCGTTGTAGAACACACATTGGAACCTGATCCTGCCACACATCCTTCTTAATCCCCAGATCCTCCCAAGGTCGTCCCTCGGGCCGACCTGGGTGCCACCATTCTTGTCTGGGAGGTGACCGACTCGGACGTGGACGGTTAGACGGGGGACCTTGACCCCTGCCTCCCTCTTGACGGTTCTTGTTACTGCCAACCCCCTGGCTGCCCTGCCCTCTTCCTTGCGCCCTCCCTTCGGCCGCGACAACAACGTAGGTTCTCCCCTGCTCTACCCCACTGTCTCCTTCCTCAAGTCCCCACTCAATGTCTGAGTAGGGAACTTCCTTTGTACCACCTTCTTCCATTGTTAGGATTAGACTTTCCTTGGCCTTGACCCGGTCAGAGATGGTGTGTCCCTTCCACATTTTTCCTTTTGTCAGATCTTTGTGCCAAAACGTGGTAACGGGCGAAGCTTGTGCAGCGAAGGAAACAACCTCTCTACGAAGGACATCGTAAGTCATCCCTGGCTGTTGCCTTTTATCGAAGAAGTGCCCTTGCACATGCTCGGGCAGGGCGCGGTAGAAGAGTTGGACCAACTGTGCGTCAGTGACTCCATGTCTGGGCACAATGATCAGCTCATCCATGGCAGAGTTAAGGGCATGTACGCTCTTCCACTGACGCGTGTGGATCATTTGCAACTTGTCAGAGGCTTTAAGCCCTCGAGTGACTTCTGAGAATCGTTCCCTAAGAGACTTAAGAAACTCGGAGAGGGGAGTTATCCGGGAATACTGCACCATATCGTTCTCACAGCGTGTTGCGCGTGCAAGCGACCTTGCAAAGTTGGTCGCTTCCTCCCTCAGGGCCTGGAAGTCCACTAGGACATGATCTTTTGGTGCTACGCCCTGTAGGTATAGATAGGAGTTGACAGTTGCCTCCCATTTGTCAAAGTCCTCCCCCTTCTTCTCGTTGAAGGGCTCAGGGAAACGGACTTTGACTTTCTCACGGCGTGGGGCAGGCTCCTCTTCCTTGGAAGCCACTATCTTGGCGCCCTCTATGGCGCCTGCATAGAACCTCTCTGTCCTACTGATGGCAAGGTGGATCTGGTCCACCAAAAATTTCATCATGTCCTGCACAAAGTCTTTGAAGCCAACTCGGATGGCCTCTAAGGCAATATCATGGCTACGAAGGTGCCTCATTTGTTCCCTTTGTGCAGTCAATAGGGACTCTACACTGTGGGTCAGGGTGTCAAGTTTATTTCCTATCTCGGTCTCTTCCCCGATCTTCCCCATCCTTATCTCTGTCGCCTTCAACTCCCCATGTAGCTTCTCTTCTTCCTCCATACGCCTTAGTCTTTCTTGTGTCAGGTGCAATTTCCATTCCAATTGCTTTTCATGTTCCTTTGTCCGCGTACGCAAGGGGTTCCTCTCCTCCTCCAACTCTCTCCTGGCTGCTTCCCTCTCGGCCTCAGGTACCATCATCTCTACTTCTCTCAGTTCCCCCAACTTTATACGCGACGCCCACTCTTTTGCCATCTTCTCCACCTCTTCTTCCTTACTGGTACTTTCCTCTCCTCTTCTTCTTTGCAAGGCTTCTTCTTCCTCAACCTCTTCTTCTTCTACTTCCTCTTCTTCTACTTCGGCCTCTACTACTGCCATCTTCTCCTCCTGCTCCTTCTTCCACCTTTTGCAGTGCTTCCTCCATCTGCTTCTTCTTCGCCTCCTGCTACCATCTTTGCCTGCTTGATCAATTCCCTCTTCTCCATCTTCTCCTTCCTTTCTCTCAGAAGAGCCGCAACTCTCTCTTCTTGTTCCCTACTGTAGGGGGTGGTGCTAACCCCGGTCCTGGTGGTCATCATGGTGAAAGTGCACAATCAGGGGCGATTCCGCTCCTCACATAGACCTACCAATCTTGACTCTCTAAAGGACTTTAGAACAACTCACTATCTACAGCTTGCAGCTACTCTAAGGTCGTCACTACAGGACTCACTGGCTGATCAGGAGGCATTTAAGGAGATACCCCATAACTCCTCAAGAATTCTTTAACATCGCAGACAGGACGATGCGATCAGTCGAGTCCTTTCAAGACTTAGACAACGCACAGCCCACAACTTGGAGTTCGGGCTTACCGCGCCACACTGAGCAGCCAGCCAGTCATTACCGGTCCTTGGGGGTCTTGTCCTCGGGACGTGTCAGTCGTCAGACGCAGCCTTTAGCCTTACTAAGTCCCGTGTGGGTTTGGGCTCGCAGCTGTATGGCCACATCCACAGAGTCCTATCGACCTGGACAAAAGTGACAGGGAGATATGATTGACTCTGACAGACCTGACGTCAGGAAGTACCAAGGTGAGGGTGCACATCCACAGAGTAAGGGCTAGGCCAGGGCTTGGAGAGAGAATACCGCTCGTCTTCTTGCTCCAGCTTGGTCAACGCTCCGATCAACTGTCTTGGTCAATGCTCCGGTCAGCCCCGGTCACGCTGGTCAACGCCCTTGGTCAACCTCCGGTCAACACTGGTCAACCTCCCTGGTCAACCCTCTGACCTCCTGGCTATGGTGGTCAACCTTCTCCTTCGTCGCCCTCTTCTTCTTCCTTCACCTTGGCTATGGCTGCTTCACCTCCCTCTTTATCATCTTCCTTCTTCTTTCTCTTTGCGTCACTTGTTCTTCCTCTCTCGCCAGCCGTCTCCTTCTCCGCGCTCGGCAGGTATGGCTGTCGTCCGCTGTGTCCTCCTTTTCTCTCTCTCTCTCTCTCTCTCTCTCTCTCTCTCTCTCTCTCTCTCTCTCTC